TCTTGAGGGAGATATTATTGTACAGCTGCTCAAACTTACAGAAATTCAATATTAAGTGGTAGTACCGCTTCAGCTCCAAACACCGTATAAGGAGTAACTTTTATTGGTGTAATGCAGGTAGTTTGATACACCCATAATATTTCTATATTTTTGGCATGTCATTCTCTTTTATTCCTGGTGAGAATCATCTTTAATAGATTTATTAATATTTTGTTGATAGCTTCCATTAAGCAATTTTCCCTTAGACTATAAATTGACAGATTTGTCTATTTTGGTGCTAGGCAGTTATCTTAAGATAATATGGTACAGTACATCAATTGATAACAGAATTGACAATTAGTTGAATGAAGTAGTTTCCACTCATTTGAAAAAGTAGTCAGTCGTTGCTAATATGAAGCAATGTTCAGCATTTGTTGGCGGATTTATTGGTTCAGTTATATCCGTATCCCAACATTCAAATGAATAGGATGTAAAGGATTTGGTGGTTGATATATAATATCATTATGAATGTGAAACCTGAAAAAATGATGTTTTAGACCTCACACGCTTTTCAAAGTGCCGCGACGAGTTTTAAGTGAAAAATTCAAGGTTGTCGGATTTCGATGAAAATAATTTTGAAAAATTCTGAACAATTTGATATATAAAACTTATATTTAATTTTGCTTAATTTAGGAATTAAAATTTATAGAAACCTCATAATACCTATTATACCCATAGTATTTATTTAAGCATGGATAACTTAAGTGAGGGCAAAATTGGTATTTTGAAAATCCCTATTCTACCAAAGCATTTAAGGGACCAAATTATATTCGGTCCCTCACTTGTTCGGCCAACCGTAAAGAGGAGGAACTGAGAAGAACACGCGACCGAAGGGATAGGGCAGACGCACGCAAAGCTTCGGGGGTGGCTCCGACAACTTTTTCCGGCGAGGAATTTTGGGGGAATTGAAGAGGAAGTCAAGAGAAGTCTAAGGTGTGTTTCTAAACTTGAAAATATTCATTTTTTCTCTTAGATTTTTGAAAGAGAAATTTTCTAGAGTTGGTCGAAAACCTAATTTTTCTTTAAGGACTTAAGAGGGAAGATCTAGGAAACAATTTTATACATTAGAATATGTTTTTCTTTAAAGTTTTTTAGGGTTTCTAAAATTAGGATTTTTCCCTAATGTTTAAAATTTTGAAAGTGCTTTTATAATTATGGTACCTAATAGTCCTAAGAGGATTTCTAAGGATGTAAATTAGGGTTTTTACTCAAAATACCGTTTTTATAATTTTAATTTAATATAAATCTAAAAATGGAAATCATTTAAATTAAACTAGGAGTAGGGTAAAGAGATTAATTTGGTTGAAATAGGTAATTATATAAAAATATAAATTTTTAGAATCTATAATTGCCTTATGTGATCTTTTAGAGAGAGATAGAGGGAGAGATAAAACCTAGGGTAGTTTAGAAAGAGAAAGAAGGAGAATTTTGTTTTAAATTTACTTTGTAGATTTTAAAATGAGAAATTGATTCTTTTTAGTAATAAACGTGGTGGCCTCGAATGAAGGAGGATTAGCAAGAGAAATCGAATTCCTAATTTTGGTAAGTATGCATGTTTCTTTATTTACAGTAATGAATTTTGTTTCTCTCTAGGTATATGATTAATAGATCAAGCATTTTTAGAAAATATTCACTCTTGTCCAATGTTGATCATGAAATTTATATGATATATCTTGTGACATTATTAAGCAAAGTTCATGTATTATATAAATAAAATGAAATGAAATGATATGAGATGATATGAATGTTATATTGAATGCTTGTGTGTGCATGCTGAAAAGATGGAGCTCACCCCCTTAAGGTACTAGCTAGGGACACTGTACTCGTGCACGTTAATATGATAAAAGATATGAAAAAGGAAATGGTAAAGGAGTACCTTTATGGTACTTGATGGTGGCTCCTGTGATAGTTGTAATATATACGAAATGAGAAAGCTAAGTATATTGATATGAATATGGAAATGAAATGAAAAATACAGCTTTATGATATGATATGTTTAATGTTATGTTAGTATGAAATCATTTTTATGTTATGTTCATATGAAATTGGCATTTAGCATATTTTTCACTGTCTTGATTACTGTAATTTAGAATCGTGTTTATTTACTGAACTTCGGCTTAATGTTAGTTGTTAACATTTTTCAGGTAAGCTTAAATTAATAAAAAATGAGTAAAAGTGGTGGCAGTGTTTATCGTCGGAGAGGAGCTCCTGAGAAAAGGTAATTATGAATCTGTTTGAGTTTTATGTTCGTATGTTTTCAAATTTGATATTTTAGAGGCTCTTTCAAATTATTATGGAGATAGATTTAGAGAGTTTAGATAATTTAACCTACCGTCCGACCTTTGTTCCCGTCTCGCGCATGCGAGCTCACTGGGCCGGGTCGTAACAAATATTATACCTAAAATCCCCCTTATAACAAAATACTCTCTTTATATATGCTAGCAGCATATTTGTTAGATTTTTTACCAACTCTATTGTACCACGATAATGCATTTCTTGATTATTATGAAAATCCCCCTACAATATAGCAATATGTCTATCTTGTACTAAGCACTAAATCAAGGATCATTTACCATTAAGCTAACACAAGGCTCGGGGGCTGAGTCACTAGCATTTATACTTCATAAAACTACTTAAAGCAAAAAGCATGAAATAGAAAGTGCATTGCTCATTGCAAGTCAACAAAGACAATTCAAGCAAATTCCTTCGACAAGTCTGTTTAAGCATAAAGCTAAGACGGAAGGGATCTCCAAACTCTACATTTATAAAAAAGAAATCACTATTATTTTGTCCATCCAACATAAAGCAATGGACCAATGACAGTCTCTATTAGCTTAACAAACTTTTGCAGCTGAGCCAAAAGGGTTGTGGGTTTGACATTTGATTCTCAGAGTTGAATAGACATCCCTACCGAAGCTCTAATCAACAAATCCCAACAATAATTCCTTATAGTATAAGACTATCCAGATGCATCAAATCGACTGTAAAAAGAAGAAATTTTCATAATTGGGTGTAATCAAACACAACCTTCAAATTTTCTATGAAAAAAAAGGAGAATGATAGATACAAGTTTCAGGTTTACACCAAAATGAAGAAAAAAAAAATCCAATGATATCTACCAGTGGTGTTGTAATATCAAGAATTGTCGGTAAGTACACAAGCACGTCATAAGCCCAGCATGCACTGGTTCCCTCACTTCAAATGTCTCCCGTTTGGGAGACAACGAAATGATCCATAAGGAATGACAAGTTTGTAGGAGATGCCCCAATATCTAAAGTATCTCCTCAATATCTAAAGTATGAGAGCAGGGGACACACACGTTTGGCAAACTTGCTTCAAAATATTCAAAAATAGTATATCCAACTCCAACTGAGATCTTGGGCTCAAATTACACTTCCTCAAGGTCATAAATTGTCATGTAGCTTGGCTTGCTGACCAATCTGTTGAAGCATGATGAGGCACCACATGACTAGTATGTCAACACCTATGAGCTTGAGAAGGTACTTCAATGTGATTGGGAGATCGCTCACAAGATTGCACTAGATAGGATTAGCCTCTCATATCACAACTTCAACATCATCTCCTTTGACTATCGCAGAATGAAAAAAAAAAAAAAAAAAAAAAAAAAAAAAAACATTAAGCAAGCAACAATAAAAATGAAGGTGGAAAACAAGGAGAAGGAAGATGATAATAATGTTACCTCTGTGATATCTACTTGTGAAATGCTATACCATTATTTTTGACCTCAAAGAACTTCTAACAACCGCACCTAGCACTTGTATTAACAGGCTCCTCGTCCCATGAAAGTTGGAAAGGACAACAGTAACCAGGTCAACTGAGTATAGCTAACTCATATAGAACTATCTAAAGGAGCAAAAAAAAAAAAAAAAATCAAGAAGGTGTGGCCATGTCGTGGCAGCATCAAGCCTCCATGAGGACTTCGGCCATCTGATTAACATCAGTCATACAATGAATAAGAGGCAATCCATCATATGCACTAGTCGTTTGATAATCTAAATTCCAATGATCTCTCTCTAAAATCACCGAGCGAGTAAACTGATAGCATAACCATCCAGCAAGCATGCTAATAAAGTACTATTCAAGTTACGATGATCGCCCCCTAGAGCGGCCTCTAGAGAGTAAAGGATATTTATATCGACTATCAATACAATTGGCAATGCCAATCCTGATCACACTGCCTAACCATATTTAGCTAGTGTACGAGATGAATAGGTTTGCCACCAAGTGAGAAGCAAATAAGAAGAGGCATACCCATTTCCACTCTTAAGATGGAAGTCGCCTATAAGAACTACATGAAAATAGAATAGCATCTCTCCAAGAAGAATGAAGGTATTCCAAACAGTTAAATACCCCATGAATATGAAAATAAATCCAAGCATAGATATAGTGCCATGATAATGCATCTCAAACATTAAAAGAGGCTGACTCTAAAAAAGCCTTAAAATTTTTATATATCCAGTTGAGAACCACATGTGCTAAGGAGATGCACTCACCATGAGAAATGAGGCTAGCAACTAGCAAATTACAAGAACAGATAGACCCCTCTCTAGCAGGAAGAACAAAAGTACATAGCCATATTGCCAAAAAGCCCGCCAAAAATAGATCCGCATTCAAAGAAGGAAGAGAGATGCATACCCAACCTTCATAAGCGGTTCTAAGAGTCCAGAAAATCCGTATGAGTCATGTCAAGCCTAAAAGGATCATGCAATAACACAATAGGCTGATGTAGGCTATTCTCTTACAATTGCAAAAGTGTTTGCATGAAAATTAACCTTTTTGGGTTTGACTTTAGGTTGAATAAATTACTTCATAATTCATTTTATTCACAAATTTGGTGCATGATGGAGCAAAAATCTACTGCTTTTACTGTACAGAAATTTACTTGACATGGCATATGCTTTTGCAGCAAACTAAATGATCCAAATAAAAAGTACAATTACCTGCATCTTTGTTTTCAAAATAATGAATTTGACGTTGACTTCCATCAGGCTTAGGTACAGTAAAAGCAGCCGAATCCACATTTCCTTCCATAGATAGCTGTTCTTGTTCTATACTCATTGGCAATGACTTAATTTGGTTTTCAGCAATAGAAAGCAATCTTTGAATTAGAAAAAGAGATCCGCCCTGTTAATGTTGATAATTAGTTCCAAAAATCAAATTTTAACTGTAAGCAAAGTCAGGCGATGGAATAGGAAGAGAATTACTTGCCAAAAAGAATAGCAGCCATCTACTAACTTATTTGTTCGTCCTTGAAAACCACATTCCAATCCTTGACGAAATGCAACCCAATCCTAAGAGGAATAGAAAATTAGTAAATGATGTTGAAATAGAAAATAAAGTAGAACTAATGCCATTGGATGTACCAACAATGGCAATTGCATGTAAGTAAAAACACAACATACCACTACAAAAAGTAAAAAAAATTGTCAGAGATGTTGTAAGCATGCGATGTATAGTGCAAAGTGCAAAGGATGTTTTCTACATTGAAGTGCTAAGCACAAACAAAGCACGTGATTCAATTCACTAAAGCCTGCATCAAGCAACTAATAGGCTCCCTAGACGTTAATGCTAAGAAGTCACTGACGGCACAAATATATTAAAAAATCTTTATGCACTATAACTGTTTTAGAAGATCAATGTGCATTAAATCAAATACTAATATGGCGTAATACTAAAAGAATCAAATAAGCACACTAAACTATAACTATTATGATAAAGGTGATTTGAACCATACCTTTAAGAATAATCAACCATTATAAATAATTGATATGAAATCCCTGCACACGTAGCAAACTACAGAAAAATGTGGTTCTTATTCCCGCAAAAAATATGTGAATATTTTTACTGTTTTGCTCGGAATAATTGGGTATCTTACTTATTTAGCCAAATAATATTTTTTTCCTACTTTGGTTGTATTTTGTGTATGACATTCCTTGATTTAGGCTTCTTTTTTATTTCTACTAAAATATAAATCTAGTCATTATGGGCTGGATGAAATAATTCATAGAAGATTATTACTTTCTTCCTTGTTTTCATGGTATCAGAATGAACTGATCCTGAACATTTTTTTCTGGCCAAAATGGCATGATTAGCGCAACAAGTATGAATTTTGTATAAATTTCTTCTGATTCATCCATGCCATCTACTTCCTATATGTTACCAACAGGTGCTGATTCTCATTCCATTCAAACAACCCAGCATAAATTAAATGGGAACTATCTCAATTAGCTAAAGCTGGTGATCCAAGCAAAGGAAGAATCGACAATTTTACTCAGACACCAATACAATATTGATGTAGACAAAGGGGGTCAACAGTTGTCCAAAATAAATCATATTTTGGCTTCCCTTGAGTCTAGTAGTTTATCATATTTGAGCTGAACTTTTAGTTCATTTATGAGCTGGACTTTAGTTCATTTATTGAACTAAGGGTTAGCTCATTATGACTTTAACATTTTAGTTCATTTATATCTTTAATTAAATTTTTTAGTGTTTTTATTAGTCTTTGGGTCCAATGGGACTTGAATCCCAAGTGTGTGTAGTGATCCTAGTATGACCCCTTGGTTTCCACCCAAGTTTTAAGTTTTTTTATGTTGCCTCTTGGATCTCATGCTGACTCCTTCTCCGTGGCCGTGCCGTGCTTCTTTGTCCGATCGGTTCCTTCGTTCCCGTGGTCGTGGCTCTTTGGTCCGTATGTGTTCCTTATCTCCCGTGGCTGTCTCCTTGTTCCGTGGTTTGGTCGTTAAACTGAGCAGGGGGGAGATTCCTATGCATTTTTAATGCTTAGTTTATGTGTAGAATTTATTATGTCCTTGTACCCCTTTCATACCATAAATATGAGGGGTTATGTTATTGTTTGAAATAGTTGAAGTTGAGAATGATATCTTATTTTTAGAAAAAAACTGTTAAACCTGCGGGTTGCCTTGGATATCCTCGGGGCGTTCTTTCCACCTCTTTCTCATCCCCTCCGAAAAATCCTCGGGCTCTTCCAACCTTTCTTCTCGGGCTTCTAATCTCTTTCGTCTCTCCGCAAGTGCCACTCCACCTGTATCCTTCTTCTCTAAGTGAAGCAACTTTAGGGTGTCGTCATTTTGTTTGCAAGAGTCGTTTGTACTGTTGTAAGTTTTCTTTTGTTTAGTTTAATAAGAGTTTGATCGTCTCTTTCCACGTCTTTAGTCATTTTCGTCCGTAGAAGTCCGTCGTGTCTTTTGTGATCGAGAAGTATAGGGTCCCCTGTATTTTTTGACCGCATCAAATATGGATTGAGAAGTTGACAATGCAACATAGATGGTTGAAACATTGATTGTGATGACATTATTGAATTCAATGGAACCTATCATCAATCAAGCTTACCTCTTCCACGAAAAATGCAAAAGAGATTTGGAATATAATGCACAAAATATATTCTTATTTTGAAAATATGGCATGGTTCTGAGAGATTCAAACAGCCTCCAAGAATGCCTTCTAAGGTATCATGACTGTAATCAAATACTTGCACTATATTAAGTGAATTATGGCAAGAGCTGAGAATGTACATGAAACAATTGGAGTAGTCCTAAGGATAGTTTGAAATATACCCAAATTATTGAAAAGGAACGTGTCTTTCACTTTATAGGTCAAATAAAGATTTAGACTAAGAGACCATTTAATAAGAATAAAGTATTTTCCCAACCTCTGAGAAGCATTTGTGGAGGTCTGAATGGAGATAAGTAAATTAAGGTGCGATGCGAGGTAGTCCAAAAGAGACAAACAATTAATGTACACATCCAAAATACCACCCTTCTTTCAAAAAGATTAGAGTTCAATGGATTAACGCAGCATCAACAAATTGATCAATCTTAGTGTGATCATTATCAAAAACTTTAATATATTAAAGAAAAATGTTGAAAAATACATTGGAAAATGGCATTATGATGATAGATTTATTTATGATAACTAGCGAGTTATCTTGCAAGAACCACATATTCCTTGCTCCGAACAAATCACACCTTCATGCACCCCAAGCTACAACAACTTCCTCTAGACTGCCTTGACCTCCAGCCCGTCATCGTTGCCACAGCCACCATCGATGTAGCTGCCATTGAGGATCACTTGAAAGCCACACACCACCATCCTCTCCTCTAAAAACTTTTGAGTATTAATCGTATCTTTATGTTGATGAAAAATATTTATGAAAAAATGTGATGACTAATATAAATGAAGATGCATATTGGAGGCATTAGACTCCACATGATAAGTTAAGGGAGAGACCTATTTGTTATGACGATAACTCTAATAAATACCCTTTAGTGACGACAATGCATATAATTTGTGAGTTGTTGCAAACTATTTCAGCTTTCCTTAGAAATTAAATGTGGATCAGTAGAAAAAAAAATAGAATTTGGAGTTAAACTTAGTGTTATATGATATTTTTATGCAATTATCAAATTTAATACTATTTTGCTATTGTAATATTTGAATTTCAATTTCAATTTTATTTCACATAATTTATCACTTAACACTTTACATCTTTCGCATTTTTTTGTTTCAAATGCATGTAATTTATTACTTCATAGTTTAAAAGAAATTTAATATGTCATCCTTTAACATATTATTCGGATATTATATAAAAAATCACTTATAACATTTATTTTCACTTTACACAATTTTTTTTTTTTATTTTGAGGCTTACGCCTCAAAACGTCTTGAGACTTATACCTTGCCACACAAATGAATAACGCTCAATACTGAATTGTGCAATTTTAAACCTTGATACATCTTTAGAAATGTAAGAATACATAGGTCTCCATCAACTATTGCTGGTAAAGGGTGTTTTTAGCTGACTAATTTGATTCTCTCATTGGTCCAATTTGTTCCAAATTTCAAGTAAAACTTTATGTCTAGCAGCAAATTGATCAACAATATAATTTAGTTGCTAAATTATTTTATTAATTCTATGATTTGTGCACAAGGATGAAGACTGATAATTATAGGATATATACTGCTTGCACTAAGTTCATGATACAGAAAAATATAAAGCATTAAATGACAACTCTGCCATTGTGACCAAGGCATCATGTTATGACACAAATTACTAGAATGTCCTAGATTTTTGGCAATGAAATATTTTTAAATATATAATAGAGTGGAAACATGAAGAAAAAGGATTAGGCTTTGTTCGCTCTAGAAATATACAATAATGTGCGAACCTCGCTCTCACAAGCTTAAGGTTCCTTATTTTCCTTAAGATAGATTGGATTTAACATTTAACCAGATTTACCCTGAGAGTAGTGTCAGGTTTTATTTAGATATGGGTTCTACTTCCTATGAGCGTAAAATCTCATAACTAATTACCCCTCCTCATGCATTAGATTGCACTCTCGATTAAGGATGAAATATATTTAGTTTATGCAACGAATGTGGAAATGTGAAACATTGTTTTAATGTTTTAATTTTAGTTATGGGGGATGAAGGAACACCCAATTAAGATCCCATGCATTTCGTTGCGCCGCGATGAAATTAAGCGAAATTTTAAAGTCGTCTAATTCGACGCAATTAATTTTATTAAATTATATGCAAAATTTTGATTGAAACGATATAAAGAACTTATACCTAATTTCGCACGAATTTAAAACAAAAAATTAGCGAAGTTAACTTAAGTAAAAAATTAAGCTTAAATGACCACATTGCCCTCATCACTCTTAAGAGAACTATTAGGACCAAGGGCACATGCGTAATTAACCATATAATTAATCTCTTAAACTCTGCTAATACCTAAGGTACCGAAATCATTCGGTCCCTTGCATTTTGTTCGACCACATGCGAGAAAGGAGGAACGACGGCGGGAGCATGGCGAATCCGGTGGCCGGCGGATTTTTCAGTGGCGATTTTGGGAGGAAATCAAAGGGAAAACATATAAGGAAGAGAAAGGGTAAGATCTAAACCTAGAAAATTTTCTTTTTCTCCAAGATTTCTAATGATTAAAATTTAGGGTTTTACTCAAAACTTCAAATGTTTTAAGGAAATTGACAGGGAATGATTGAAATGCAATTCTAACCATGAAAATGTATTTTTTTAAAAGAAAAATTTAGGTTTCCAAATTAGGGTTCTATAGAAACTTTATTTTATCTCAAGAAATGTGTTAGGAAAGATTTAAAAACACTTTATAATTATGAAATTTGAATTTTTCTCTAAGATTTTTAAGTTTCAAAAATTAGGTCTTTTCCTAATATTGAAATTTTTTTGAAAATTTATTAACAAAGGTTGATCCTTTAGGTCTTAGAAAGGTTCTATTTATGAGAAAATGAGATTTTTATAAAAAATATTATTTCTCTAATTTCTAAATTTCAATTAATCCGAAAAATAATTATGTTTAATTATAATATAGGTTAGGGGAAATGTTTTAAAATGTAAATGAAAGAAAAAAAGTGAAATTTAGGTTCCCAAAATTCTGATTTTAATCAAAACCGAATTTTCATGTTAAAATTTTATTAAATTACTTAGGTATAGAGTAATTAGGAAGGGAAATATTAAATAACAACCTCAAAAATGAGAAATGCATTTGTTTTAATTAAGGGTTTGTTTCCTTAGGTGTTACTGATAAGAAGGAGTTGGTTCGAGGAGGTTTGTAAAGTTAACTTGCTTAGTGGTAAGTGATAAATAACTCTATAAATTCATGTTCTTTCTCTTTTAAGATGCTAATTGTTTTAAGTTGCGTATGGCCTTAAATATGTTTATGTTGTATTATTCTTTTAAGATGTTAATTGTCTTAAGTTGCATATGGCCTTAAGGGTATTTATGTTAAATTACTCTATTAAGATGTTAATGGTATTGTGTTGCATATGACTTTAGTTTTCCATTAAGCAACATATGACTTTAAATTTTCTTAATGTATAACGTTGCATATTTAGAAAACTCTCTCATATGTAGTTTAATAAATGTTCACTTTTAGCATGAAAACTCATGATCAAATTCATTTATTGGATTGAATATATGCTTGGTTGATATGTTAAATTATATATGTTATGATATCGAAATAAGATGTCAGTTTGTGCATGTTGAGACGGAGTACCAATACGGTGCATTAGCACAATATGGCTCTTCGCTGAAAACTGGCTTTTGAGGGTTGAAAAGATACTGGAAGGAATGCAATGTCCTGACGAACGAAGGGTGACTTTAGCCACCTTTGCTCTAGATGGTGAGGCTGAGAGATGGTGGCGAGGACAATCTTTGGAGAAGTTTCGTGGTAGACCAGATTCCCAGATCTTATGGGAGGACTTTGTGAAAGTCTTCAGAGATTGGTTTGTGCCTCCTTCTGTGAGGAGTCAGATGCAGGAGAGATTCTTGAGGCTGGTGCAAGGGGAGCGGACAGTTATGCAGTATGAATCGGAGTTTACTACACTGTCCCTCTATGCCTCTCCGTTTATTACTACTACTGAGGATAAGTGCCAAAAGTTCTTAGCAGGGCTTCGAGATGCTATACGTCAGCCATTGCTTCCCTTTACCTTTGATGATTATGCTGTTTTGGTGGAAAAAGCAAGGAGATTGGAGATTGATTTCCAAGCTGTTCAGAAGAGGAGAGATTTTCAACAAAAGAGGAAGGGCTTTGAGAGGACCAGGAGCTTCCAGACTCATTCTGGAGGTTCTAGTGTAAAGAAAATCAGAACTGATTTTGGTGGAAGTTCTTCTAGTGCCAGAACTTGTGATATATATATTGCGAAGCAAAGTAAGGAAGTTTATGGCAATTAGAAGTTTATGTCATTTAAAATCATTCATTTCATAAAGGTTTTATATATAAATACAAGTCTATTTTAGCATGAATATTAATTTCTCTTCATTGCATATGAGTTTAGTAGATGTAATTGTTACTTGCTGAGCGTTAGCTCATTCCCTAGTTTTGGAATAATTTTCAGGAGATCCTGTTGTTAGATGATGGCTGAGCGACCATGGTTTACGTAGAGCCGTAGAGGACCGGAGGACAGGTTTCTTGTGTTTTTTTTTAGTTGTTGTGAAATGATTTCGTTGGTGGATGTTTACATGATAAATATTTTATCCACCTTTGTAAATCCTTTGATATATATATATGAAAAGTTTTGATATAATTGGAAGTTTTTAGTGGCGTTGATTATATATTGAATTGTTTTAGATTTATATGTTTTATACTTTAATGTCATTGAAGAGATATGTTTTAACATTTAAGTTCGACATCCGATCCTGCCTCGTCTATGCGAGCTCACAGAGCCTGGTCGTGACAAGATCCACCTTAAAACTTCGTAGAATGAGATGAATTTCCATGCAAATTTCATTTGGAAGTTTAAAGGAAAAGACTACCAAGAAAGCAAGATGAAGGGTAAACTCATGTAGGGTATCTGGCCCAACAAATATTCAGTAGGTTCCATAAAAATGAGATCGTTGAGTAACAAGCAAGTGGCAGAGAAATAGATTAGAGAATGTATGACAAAGATACCTACTAAGTCTCTTTCTATGACATATCTCCCCCTTTAATCTCTCTCATCATACTCGTCAAGTAACAATGTATCACCTTCATAATATTTTTTTGGTATCATATATAATCACATTCTCTTTTGTATCACAGCAAGAACTAAAATCAGTTTTGACTCCAGATAAAGAATAAAAAAATATGGCAAATATAATTCATACCTAGACCATAGAACAACCTCAACAAAAGCATTAGAGATGAAAATACCAACAAAAACTGAAATGAAATAAAGTTTTATATTAAATAATACAGAAGAATGTCTTACTATCAAACTGGTCAAATCCAATCTATGCACCTCGTTTATAAGAATCATTGTTGCTAGTCCACAAAATGTGTACCTGAAGATAGCATTAAAAATTTATAGTAGCAAAAGGCATTTGTGTCTATCATAACTACTAACTTTATTTGGTATTGCAATTGACAAATAGAAATGAAACATATGACTTCTCGTGAGTGAAACATACCCACCATGAGCTTCAGAACCAGGTTCTCCAGCAATACCACCTTCATATGTTTGACATCTATAAAAAAGACTGTTGATCTAAGTAAAAGTTAAGCATTATAAAGCTCTGAAATGACACTAACAACCAATAATGGAGAGCATAAGAACTAAGAATGAACGCCAATGCACCTTTGAAAAAGATTAAATCATTTAGTTCAATAATCACAAAACAATTTTCCATTAATAAAGTACCCCAAATATTCTCAAGGGGGTAAATAAAGTGAACCAAAAAGAGTGCTGTAATTATCTTTTTTGTAACGATGTGTTCCAGAAGGTAAAAAATTTGAAAGCGGCTCATATTTTAAGCTTTATCATGTGATGACTTGTTGATACTTTTTGTAAAGATTTGTTCCGGAGGAAAATTTTTGAAAGCGGCTAGTATTTTAAGCATTACCATGTGATAACTTGATTGCCAAATGAGTCTGACATGATGTTAAACATTGAAAAGAGTGCTACATTTCAAGCATAATCTATGGTTCCTTTTAAGTCGAAACAAAAGTTTATTATTTGAGCACCAGAATCTTTAAAAGGTAAACTCAAATTTTGGATATTTACCAAAACTTAAATAATAACATACCTAGATCAAATTACACTAGCATGATACACCTAGGAAGTCGCGAACATCATAATGCCTCAATAACTGTTAAGCCAGGACCACGTGATGTAAATTTCTACATGCAGATTTATGATGTAGAGCATTTGACTGACCACACATTTTCCTAAACTATCCTCTCCCCAACCCTAAAAAAAACAAGGTTTATAATAGTCATTCCTATAAGAAACAAATTAACAGAAAAATAGAAGACTTCAATACCATATTTTGGTGAATTTTTTGAACATACCACATTAACTCATAAAATGAGCTTAAGATGCCACGCCAACGTATGCACTAAACTTCTATATTCTTCCGTACAGTTATTCAAATTTGGACTAAATGATAGTAACTATAAATCTCTGTCCAGAATTATAAACATCATAATAATTATAATAAATCGAAACCACAAACAAGTTAAAAAGAAACATCAAATAAATTTGCATAGAAAGATCTCTAGGCTTAGGCAACCAGAAAAGAAAAACAATATGAATGTCAATTTGAATTCAAACCATATAAATAATTCCAATGTATATGTAGATGTTGTCATCTAGTAAAGTAAAAGGATATAATTACCAAGTACAATAGCATAAATTAATCATTAACCTTAGAATGTAATCTCCAACACCCTTTGTAATTTCAAAATCCAAAATGTTTAGCAGACTTGCAACCTGTTATAGAAAAAAAGGGTAAATATTGTCAAAACTTATGCACAGAAATCAAAATTTTAAGCAACGAAATTACATATCCATGGATTAGAAAGATTCACTTGCTTGATTTTTTTATATTCACGCTAGAGAAGGGTTACTTAAATGTTAACATGCGCCTATCTTTGCAAATACATATTACAATGATGCTAAGTTACAGACTCCAATGACATTAGCACGACGAACATATAGCTTCACCACTTTTTCTATTTAAATGAGGTTATGTCTAAGCAGCGGTTAGCAAGACCCCCACTTGCATAATTCTACAGAAGGAAACCATTACAAATAAAAACAAGAACATGATCCCTGAAAATGTACACAAAAGTAATTACATGTAACTAATACATTAAACGGACAAACAAAACAATAAAAATTTTCAAGGTAAAGATATATCTCCAAGCAGCAATTAAATCAACTGTTCCAAGTATCAAATATCTCAAATAAATATCTCATATAGAAAGAAGGGCTCGACCAAATAGAAGATTAAATCCTTCCAAAAGTAACCGTAACCACAACTATCCAGCTGCAATATACCAACTAAATGACCTCTAATTCCAATTTGGTGAAAGACACATTTAGTTATCAATAGATTAATCCAAAAATAGTAGCCCAACTATTTATATGTGGCCAATTTAATCTCAGAGTATACATTTCTCTAATTTAGTCTCCTAACAAAATAAAATTGATCCAAAATGATTCTTCATATAAAATTTTAATACAAGATTAATGCAATATAAAATTTATGAAACAAAATTAATCCCTTCACTATAATAAATTGATCCCAGTTTAGTCACTTGGGGACCCTTTTTGATTAATTTTATATGGTCAATGGACTAAACATGAGAAATGTCATATTTTGTGGCTAAATTGACCACATATGAATAATTAATAGCTCATTTTAGGATTTAACCCGTCATCAATTTATATTCTTCTTTAGCAAGTCAATCCTATTTGCTTCTCTATAGAGGTGAAAACTCTGACTATTAATTCTTGAAATGCACATTTTAGTTTTCCTAACCAGATAAAATAGATTCAATTCACAAGTTTTATCACTTCAGACACATTGTTTTAGAACCATAGAATCAATCTCCACTCTGCCTGAAGAGAATTGTATTGTAAGCATTACGCCAATCCTTAAATAATCGCCAGTTTAGTTTACAAATATTATTTAAATCCATATATTTGTAGAAAGCAAAGATAACCCGACTTGCATAATCTTTAAGAATTCCACCACAAGCTGCCTCACAGATTTTTTTTCTTTAGAACATACATCCACATTTTGTTTCAGAGAAACTGGAAATGGCTTTACCATTTGATCATCTTTATGATTTATCAGCCAAAGCATCCTTATTGTTGTTGTTGTTGTAGCCAAAGCATCCATATGTTGACGACATCTGCAAAGGAGTGATTACTTCTACAACAGCCAGCCAGTAATAGCTTAGCATCCTTAAACAATCCAATTATCCAACACAATTTGTTAAAATTTCAGATCATACATTTTCTAATGAACTTTGAGTTTTATACTTATGGATTTTCTATTGAATTTTGTAGTTTTATGCTTAGCATTTTCTTTCCAAACCAGAAATCAAAAGAAGAGTTGGCCTTCTGATATCCACTCGGTTGAATTTTGACAGAAACGTAAGTATATAAAATTTCAGAATCAAGAATAATGTATACGAAACATATTTAACATCGCACCTCCACATTTGATTAATCTAAGAATTCTGCAAAACTAAAAGCTTAAAGGACTCTTCATAAGTACAACAATGGCAATTATAAGCTAAATATTGAACCATTACACTGATGTACTTTGGATAGAGTTGGCAATTATAAGCTAAATAACAAACCATTACAATGATGTAATTAGGATAGAGGGCCAAAGATTATAATATTCAAAACTTGATTTCTTCCTTCATGAATTCTTAATTTCTCGGGATCACATAGAATGGCGGTGGGAGAAAGGTTTCCTTGGGATGAGTACTTATGAAGAAACTTTATCAGGTGCCATGCAAAATAGGTAGGAATAATTTTATGGATGAGAATGCTATATAATAGAGTAAGAAGTGGACCATATGAAGGAATTACAACAATGGAGAGTGAGAAAATGAAAGACGAGAAAGAGAGGAGAGAAAGGTAGTGTAATATAGTGGAGAGAGGTGGACCATATAGAGGAATTATATTAAGGGAGATGGAGACAACCATAGGATAGAGAAAGGGAGTGGAGAGAAACAAGGAAAGCAAATTTTTAAAATTTCATTCATCAGTCAATAATCCAAATAACATTCATACGAGTACTATTTATAAAAACGGGGTGACAATAAAATTTTAAAGTAAATTTAAAACTAGTCCAAAATCCTATCATTAATTTGAAATAAAGGCAACTCTTAGATTAAATAAAATAAAATCCAAAGACATCCCAGAATACTAGAATATTCTAAAAATAATCTTCGTGTATTGTTTCAATTCACTTTGGAAAATAGAACTTCTTTCCTGAATAGTTGGGTAGAAGCCCTATCTCAAAAGTTTGGCTTTAATGGTGAAGGCAATGAAATTGATTCATGAACATTAACTTGTATTCAAATGTACAATCTGATTATAAAAATTAAAATCTAGAAGCTTCAAATTTTGGCATATTAATGCATCATACATCTAGTTCCACAGAAGACCTAATAGTAGCACGATGGTATCAAAAGTGCTAATAGAAAATCAATGTTTTTTAGGATAAATTTTGGAGCATCTAATTACAAATATAGAGATTAAGCTTGCAAAAAAAAAACAAATTTAATTAATTAACTTGATCAACGTAATTCTTCATCACAATTAAAATAACAATTAAAAAGTCATTAGTTTGTAACAACCATGAGTCTCACTAATCTCTGACAATGTAATTGAGTACATGACTTGAGCACTAGTACTTAGGCTTGACAATGCGTCCCCTCAAGCATAACATGTGTGAAACCTATGAGTGCCTCCCAGCTTCACTTATATCCGGGAATTGACTTGGAACTTGCACTATGTTGCAGGGTTTTAGTGTGTCAGTTATGCTACCTACAATTTCGATGCTAATGTGACACCCTTGTTGTTTCAGTCTGGCTTCGAAGTGTAAACAGGTCGAGTCAAATCGAGTAGTAGCATTATCGAGCTAGCTCGCTTAACTCACAATGAGCTTGAACTCGAGCTCGAGTTCGAATTGAGCTCATTTAATGAACTCAAACTCGACTCGTTGTATAAGTTTTAAGCTCGGGCTCGACTCGATTCATGCTCGATTCGCAGTGTTTGAAACATCAACAACGGGAAGAAGAAGAGAAAGAAGAGTCTGAGTTGCAGTCATCTGAAACGCCAGACAAGAAGACAAGCAACTCGGGCTCGAGTAATAGACTAACTTTTCGGGTGCAGGCCAACGAACAAAAAAAGGGCAACGGCCAGGAGAAGAAGAAGAAAAAGGTTGTTGACGTGATAATGTCATGGAAAAAGTTGTTTTATTTTTTTCAAGACCTTCAATTAATGCCCGTCTGCAACTTTTTTTATTTTAAGTAATGGTTGAAGCTTTTTTTTTTCTTTTCTAAGTTTTCAATTAATGTACATCTGCAATTTAGCTCCTTCCGAAGGTGTAGCATAAGAAGTATTGTTGTTCAGACTTGAGAGAAGAAGTCGTATTGATGCCCTTATCTCACAAACAGCCAACTCTACCGCCATTGCTTCGTATCTCCTACTTTGTGGGTAAACTATCTCCCTTCCTCGCTCCTTCTAATCATCCCTCAATCATGACATCGTTTAATCATGAAGATTTATCCATATATCCCCGAATTAAGAGTGTGAGTGGAACCTTATAGTAACTATTCTAATTGTTAAATTGGGGATTCTCTTTTGAAACCCTCACATTAGCATGGTCTAAATCGATGTGACTATTTTTCGATCCTAATCTTTTCTTATGTAGTTGATTGTCAAAGCTTAATCACTATCTTGTTGGCTTAAAACTTTGCTAAGAAACGCGAGAAGATTAATTAATTGCAAAGCTCTACTCATGTATGTGCAATTTTCTAATCAATTGCATTTGCCTTTGCACATAGTCCTACATCAGAAGATCCTCCTCTCGAAAGAGGATCAATTGTATTTTGGTTCTTGTTGTTTGATTTCCTAGCAATAAAAATCTGCATTTTCGTCGAATCTAATTGATTGGATTGCTATTTTTTTATACCAAGGTGCATCATAGTACAGGTCAAATAGCTCTTGAACTTAGGAACAAGGAAAAAATTGTTACATACATTATTTTCACTTGCAAATAGGATTTCCAAATTGTCTCATAAAAGCCTTAAGCTTCTTGTTCCTAATCTTGCACATCAACGAGGTAGTGTTAAGCTCAAAGAGCTCACTATCTTCAAAATAAAAATAGATTCAAGCATTTGTTTTAAATTATTTTTTTTTTCTCTAATTAACTTTAAACTTGGAAGCTATGTGAGTGTAATGCTCCCCATTGAATTTTAATTTAAATTTTTTTACTCTCTAAATAATTTTAAACTTCGAAGCTATGTGAGTGTAATGCTCCTTATTGTATTATCTCTACTTGAGTTATATTCTTGTTGATGGTTTGTTGAACATTATCTGCACTATTTGTAAGTGTTGATCCCTATACCTCAAACCACATGCGAAAGGACACTTGAGCCTGGAAAAGGAAGTGGTGTATAGATTGATGTTCATCGCATGAAACAGCACAATTTACACCTTTCTGAGCATAATGCGCTTCAATAGTTAAGAAGCTATTGATGTAGATTTCATTAAGTGGATGAAACAATAGATATCAATTATCTTTTGGATGCAATTATTATTCTTTCCTTGATATGTTTTCACACCTCCTAAATTCATTATTTCATGTCAATACTTCAGATTATCAGGGCAAACCAAATTCATGCAATCTACATTGAAGTTCATTACTCCACTGATATGGTCTTATGCCTAGTTGAAATTATTATTTGATTTCATATCTTATGCCATTAAACCCTTGGGGATGAATATACTCTTTACTAAATCTACAATCTCCTTTGACAATTGTAAGACTTGCAAAATATCAATTGTTTTGGTACATTTTTTAAAGATAATGCCATAGAAATTATTGTAGAACTATAAGCTTTTGAGTAAGGCTGCTAATAGATTTGACAGAGCGTTACCTTCTTAAGAATCATAGATCTTTCAATGGCAAGATGCATGTCGAGAAGACCATCATGATATGTACGACTTAAATTCCTCAAGAACGAACCGTCAAGGGTTTTGAGTAGTGAGTAGATAAGAAATCTGTTACGGGGGTTAATAACCCCAAACCAACCAAACCGGCCCAGGAGGGGCCGGTTAAGTTTTACAGGAGGCGGGCTAAGCCGCCTCCTTGAGTTCCGCCCAAGGCTGTGGCCCCCCTAGAGAGGCAAGTAGAGAGAGAGAGAGAGAGAGAGAGAGAGAGAGAGAGAGAGAGAGAGAGAGAGAGGGTGGCTAATGCATATAGAAGAGAATTTGAATTTGGTTTATGTTAGGAAGCTTTTTATTAGGAAAAAGTGTATTTAAAGAACATGGGAGGCTAGTGTTGGGGCATGCATGATTTGAGTTGTTCTCTTGGAGTCTTCTTGGTGCCTTGGGCTCTAGATCCACAATCAAGAGATTGGGAGAGATGATCCTCCTATCGAATTGAGGATCAATTGTATCTTGCTTCGACTTTGTTTTGCTTTGATTCTACTATTGCAATATATCATTCTTAGATTGATTTCATCCAGATTTTTCTTGTTTTCTCGCTGTTTTGGCCAATTATTGTTAGGATTGCTTGCGAACTCAAGTATTTCCTATCAAAATCACATCAACAGTCCAATGATGGTAGATTAGTTCATCGGAAATTAGGCATGAAGTTCTTCACCATATCACACCAAAAATGTATCTTCTTTTTGATACTCTAGAACATTTATAACTAATAAAAAAATTGCTTTAACGATTTCTATTTATAGTTTTTAAAGAAATTTAGCCTGGCAGCAAAGATTATTGAAAGCAATTGTATGGCTATGATTAAAAGTAACCTCATATCTCAATGAAAAACATTTCAAATAGATTTTTAATGCCAAACATTTCTACATTTTGACGGTCATCCTCACTCCTAAAGAAAATTTCAAACCATTCAAAGAGAGAACTCTAAAAAAACTGGACCCAAAAATAATAATCATAAGCTATGTTAAATAACAGCCCATTCAATCTCCTGTTCCACGTGGTTAAAAAGCAACAATCAACAGCACCTCACAATGCAGACTGTTATGGCAGCTTCCCTGAACTAAAAGCGGCCCAAAATGAGCCCTAATCCACATGTGATATACACTAACAATCTCATGGTTCTTCTTATGAATGCTGTTTTGTATATTAAAAAAATTATCTTGGCTTACATCAAAATGTTGATGACTAAGGCCTCGTTTGGAACGGCTTTCTTATTCCTTCTTAAAGCAGCTTTTTAATACAAAAATTTTAATTTTGTACTAGAAAGTTGCTTTAAGAGCACTAAAAGTCCTCAACGAAGCCTAAATGGAAAAATAAAATCATATAGAATAGATCATTAGAGGAACATGCTTAGACAGCCTTTTTCTATTCTAGAAAGATTACGCTACACTTCGAAAAGAGTAACACCCAAACTAATTCAACGGTCTTTCTATCTCATGAAAGGAAAGTGGGGTTCACACTTTAGTTTATCTCACCCTAAAAATGGAAGATAGCTTTGGTAATTGCTTGTTAGAACATTTTGGTGAAATAAGCCTTTCTTTTCCAGTTATGCAAAAATCATAGATATCATTGCTTAACTATTGGTTCAAACTATTAATTAAAGCTATATGATTGCTATCACTAACCTTCTTCCAACAAGATGGGTTTGCTAAGAGTTTCTACTATCTAAAAACAATACAAAAATAAAATAAAATGCACCGAAATGATTTAAAGTACTTACAGATATTGCAGTATAGCATGCTCGAACATCCATTTCACCAGTGTGGTGCATTCTGATTAACATAGAATTATTTTCAGTTTAGAGATTGGATTTCAATCTACTTTAAATAACCGTTGAATTTTCCGCAGCAGAAAAATTAAATTATTTCAGAAAAATGATGCAACTATGTTAACATAGAAAAATATTCTTTCAGTTTAGAGATTGGATTTCAATCTACTTTAAATAACCGTTGAATTTTCCACAGCAGAAAAATTAAATTATTTCAGAAAAATGATGCAACTATGTTAACCTAGAAAAATATTCTTTCAGACAAAATCATTATTTATAACAATGTGGTCTCCAAAAAGAAATTGCAGCTATTTTGGATCTCAACTAATAGATCAAATCAGTTAACTATTTCCTTCAAGGTATCAATGTGGGCTCCGAAAATTCGGCCCCGGCACCCCACCACACTGTTTATTGCTTTTACTTCGGCGAGGGAGTTTTAATGGAATTAAGTTCCAGTGTAAATTTTGGAAGGCAGATGGATTTGTAGATAAGACACTACCCAGAGATTTCGCCCTCATTTTGCGAGAACTTTATGATCTGAGTTCTAGTTTCCTATAGGCGCAAGCCCCTATAGTTAATTACCCCAATCGATAACAAGACAGAACTTTCGATTAAGGCTAGTCGTCAATCAGATACGTAGAGAGACGTGTTATCTGGCATATAGTAGCGGCATAGATTTGGATGTTTGAAAATTTGGAATTTGAAGGGTTTGGATATTGAGAAATTTGGATGGTTTCAAGTTGGGATTTGATATTTAAAAAAAAAAATTTCACCATCTTTCACTTAAAGCGGATGATGGGGGAATGGATGATAGACTCGATCAAGATTCCATGATTCCGTCACCTCGGGTCATCGTGGTCCCTAGTCTACTTAGTCAGAGGAGGTAGTCGACCCAACCTGACAGAAGGATCCTTATCGGCAGCCATGGGTTGCTTCGTCCAAGGGGACCTTAAAGACCTGGGTTGGATATTTTCCTACAACAACAACAACAACAACATCAAGCCTTTATCCCACTACGTGGGGTCGGCTACATGAATCCTTTTTCTCCATTGTGTCCTATTAAAAGTCAAATTCTCGTTTAAATCTAATAAAGAAAGGTCATTCCTAATATTTTCTAACCAAGTCTTTTTAGGTCTACCCCTACCTTTCTTAACATAAGTCAAATCTAATACCTCTACTCTCCTAACCGGGTCATCGCAAGGCCGCCGTTTTATGTGACCAAACCATCTAAGGCGACTTTCTCTAATCTTATCTTCTACTGGAGCTACTCCAACCTTTTCACGTATATGTTCATTTCGAATCCTATCTCTAAGGGTAAAGCCACTCATCCACCTGAGCATCCTCATCTCTGCCACACTTAACTTAGTATTATGCTTCTCTTTTAAAGGCCAACATTCGGCACCATAAAGGTATGGGTTGGATATTTTCCTAAAGGGACAAATTTGAATCCACCTTAGCTAACAAAGAGCTTTGTGCCCTATCGATTATATCCTATTGATTCATATCTCAAGGATGAAGCCATTAAGGAGCGTATTGGCTCTTGCCATAACCAGTATTTCGTGGTGCCATTTGGCGGCAAAACAGCTCGGTTCAGAGGGCCCCGGGTCATAACCGTTTATCCTGCGATGCCATTTGACGGCAAAACCGCCGATTAGAAGATGCGTACCACGTCCTTACTGGCAGGAGATTGTTTGACAATGGATCCTAGTGATATTTTCAACTAGGCATTTAGCTCTTTGTGAGCTAAAGTAAATTTTAATTTGTCCACCCAGGCAAACTGTTGCGGAGGGTGGATGGATTTGCTCTAAGTACTTGATGAGTTGATTTCAGTTTTAAATATCTTGAAGTTTGGGATTGATTTTAAAAATTTTAGATTTTGGACTTTTGTGGGTATTTGGGTGGAACTTGGAAGACATTTTAAAATATTTGAAATTAAACCCTCCGGTTGAGATTTTCATTCAACACGGCCATCATCGGGGTGTTTGGGGTTATTTCCATTTGTGGACTGAACCTTATCAACTCGACCAAGCTGTTAACCGAGGATCGAGTTTCTCGTAGGCTTTGTGCCTTTATTAGTGAATTCTTTTGATCATAAGCCTTGAAGGTCTAATATGAATGTATTAAAACATGTATATCGACCGTCGTGACTGTATATTTGTTTGATGGTTCAAACCCTGTCGACCCCTATTGATCCCCATAGAATGATCGGGTTCGAACTTGAATTCGCTTATTGACCTGCGCAGCATCCCTAGGCATCACGTGTGTACCAATAACACGCTCGCTGGGGCCCATGCGGGTTTTATGATTACATTTACCCCTTTGCATACCTATGTGTATACAAATTACGGTGCACGTGCGAGGGTACTTTGAAAGTATTCGTAGACGCCTTCTGTCCGCTTGCATAGAAGTTGCGGTTCCGGTGGCGTGGCATAGCAACTTCTGAATAGAGTTGTTCGCTGCTTTGTACACGTAGACTATCATGCACTATTCGTTGCTTTCTGCAGGTGGATCGTAGTGCACTAACTAATCTCCTGCCTTAATCCGTAGGTGCTTGCGTTTATTGTAGACATGATCCCTTTGTTCGTGGTCATCTCTCTTTACATATAAATTTTCTAGAACTGGCCATAGGCTTTTGCATTTGCTACTGTTCCTCTACATTTTCTCGTAGGTAGCATTTAGTGTAGATGATGGGTTTTTGACAGCATCGTTGAATCCTTCTACTTGTAGGGGATTGATTGCACCTTTTCTTAAAGGTTGATCATTGTTGACAATAGAGACTCCCTTGTATTTCTTCATCCCTAACTCTTGATGAATGCACTGAGTGTGGGTCGTATATCATTATTTCTCGCAAAGTTGTGTGTTGATTTATTAGTCGACTGGCATTAGCAACAACAAAACTATCTTCTTTACGATCCCTTTTGCGTCACTTGTGTATATGTTATACCCTTTGCATGTTGTAGGTAAACTACTATGTATATGATGAATCCCTGCAAGTGCTTGTGGATGCTCATTCAATTGTTTATAAGTACTTGTATTTGCAGTGCATTTATGATTCTTGGTTGCATGTGAACTGTAGGGTCATATCGCATTCACTGTGCATCATCCCTAGTGTATTCATTTGTATATATACTAGCACTGGTTGTTGGATGGATTGTGCTCCTCACATATCACCAATACTGGCATTACTTATTACGACCGCATATGCTCATCTGTAAGCATAATATGAGGTGGATGTTTCAAGCCAAATGTCATCATTCTAGAGTTTCATGTTGTGACTTATAATCATGTCACCTTTCTTCCATTTCACCAGCGCTTGTGAGCAAGTTATATTGGCAACATCATTGTCCACTAAAAATTATTGTTTACTTGCATTTGATCTTTTTCCCTTGATGTTTCTTTCTGGAGATGGTGACTTGTTGGTGATAAGGATGTAATAGCTTCCTTGTCCAACATTTTATATTTCAATGTCTATTTGAATGTATTTGAGAACTTAAAGCTATCATTTGATGTTTGCATCTTGATAATGTATCTCTTAATTGAGAGTCTAGTTCATCATCATATACTCAAGCTTGAGTTCAATGTAGACTCAAATCAAATCTTTACTTGAGTCTAAATCCTTCAAATCATGCTCAAGTTATTTAATGTTCAACTCAGATCAAATTTGAGTCTTGGTTTGAATCCGACTTCGAATCCAAGTTCATTTCAAGTTCCAGTTCTGATTTGAGTAAATCCCTTGTTTATTTGTTGACTTAAGTTCAAGTTCCAAGTTTGAGTGCATGTCCACAAGTCCTCTATTTGAGTTCAAGTTCTATGTTCTCTACAATCCCTCAAGTTCAAATTCACTTGAGACCACTGTGTTTTGTTCAAGTTCAAAATTCAAGTCCACTTCATTGTTCGAATTGAGTTAATGCTCCTTGCAGTCAACCCGAGTTATTGTTCACGTCTTTATGATCATTCAAGTTCAGTTCTCCTTAGTCAAATAATTTGAAGTCTTTTGTTTGATCACTTAGTTCATTTAGTATTTGAAATCAAGTTTGATTTAGTTTTCATGTTGTCCAAATTGAGTTCAATCAGGTCCAAGTGCAGTCATATGTTCACCCGAAATTTCGTCAGCCTCCCGGCGTCTCCCCCGTCTAGGGGAAAACTACGGGAAGCTGGGCCTTTCCCACCACGCTAAGAAAATCGTGTATGGTAGGTGTCCTCGGACGAGGACACTGCAACCGTGAATTTTTTGAACCCCCACCACGCTAAGAAAAGCGTGTATGGGTCTTCGGTACCTGTTGCAAAGAAAGAGCAGTTGTTTCCCCACAAGCGAGTACTTATAGGTATCCCCACTTCATCGTACGCATCGCATCGGGTTCCCATCCCACCATGCTAAGAAAAACGTGTATAGGTGGTTTTTTGGTGCGCTATGAACTTCGAAGAAGGGATTTTTAGGTGATTATTCACTTCGTCGCAAGCATCAGGACGCACTTCCTCCCACCATGCTAAGAAAAGCGTGTATAGGTGGTCGTTTTGTCTCGACGCATGCGTTGAAACGGGTTCTCAGAGTTTTTAAGGTTCAAAAGATTATACCTGCGCGGGGTCGACATGTAGATCGAGGAAGGAGAGGTACATTTAATTCATAATTAATTATAAATTATATATAATTAATTATATTTGACATATAATTAATTATATTCAATTCATAATTAATTATAAATTAATTATATATAATTTACAATTAATTATAAACTAATTATAATTAATAATTAATTAATTATATTTAATTTAAAATTAATTATAAATTCATTAGATTTATTTTACAATTAAGTTAAAAAATATATTTAATTTAATTTATAGTTAATTATTTTTAATTTAAAATTAATCATAACTTAATTAGTTTTAATTTATGATTACTCAAAACTAATTATAATTAATTATATTTTAATATATAATAAATTATATTAATTTAAATTAATTATAAATAAATTATTTTAATTTATAATTTATAATAAATTAATTATAATTAATATACAATTAGTTATA